GGACTTCCATATTTCACTTATATATTCTTTGTGGCAAGACCTTTCATTGGATACCAACAACTTTGACCTTGCAATTTCCGTAATTATGAAAAAAAAACTTTAACATTGGTCATAACTTTTGAACGGTAAGGGTTAGGGCTTTTATACTTCACATATGTTATTCTTGTGACAAGATCATTTATTGAATATCAACAACTTTGACCCTTTGACCTTTGAGATTTCCGTACTTATGAAAAAACTTTAACCTTGGCCATAACTTTTGAACGGTAAGGGCTAGGGCTTTCATACTTCAAATATTTAATCCTTGTGACAAGACCTTTCATTGGATATCAAGAACTTTGACCCTTTGACCTTACAGTTCGACCTTCTTTTAAAAGACAAACCTCGACCATAACTTCTGAAGGGTTAGGGCGTTCATACTTTACACATTTAATCCTTATGACAAGACCTTTCATGGGATATCAAGAACTTTGACCTTGGAGTTTGACCTTCTTTTTAAAAACTTTAACCTTGGCCATAACTTTTGAACGGTTAAGTCAAAGCTTTCGTACTTCACATATATATATATATATATATATATATATATATATATATATATATATATATATATATATATATATATAGAAAAGTAGCAGTTGGGACTTGAGACTTTAAATCAGCAATAAATAGAAAAATGATCCTTGCCACTCATCAAAATAAAAACCAATGCACAGAATTATGTATCTTAGTAAAGTCTACTTGTGTGCCAAGTTATACTGAAATCAGACCAAAACTGCAGGAGGAGTAGCATTTTGAAAGAATTTCACATAAATTTCTATTTTTAGTAACCATGGCAACATTGTTCATTGAAATCAAAAACCGATGCACAGAATTATGTATCTTAGTGTAGTCAACTTGTATGCCAAGTTATATCAAAATCATACCAAAAGTGTAGGAGGAGTAGCATTTTGAAAGAATTTCACAGAAATTTCTATTTTTAGTAACCACGGCAACACCGTTTATCGAAATCAAAAAGATGCACAGAATTATGTATCTTAGTGTAGTCTACTTGTGTGCCAAGTTATACTGAAATCGGATTTCAAATCTGTAGGATAAAAGCAAAGAATTTCAAAGAAATTTCTATTTTTAGTAAAAAAAACACCGTTCATCGAAATCAAAAACCGATGCACAGAATTATGTATCTTAGTGTAGTCTACTTGTGTGTGCCAAGTTATACTGAAATCGGACCAAATCTGTAGGAGGAGTAGCATTTTGAAAGAATTTCAAAGAAATTTCTATTTTTAGTGACCAAGGCAACACCGTCATCGAAATCAAAAACCGATGCACAGAATTATGTATCTTAGTGTAGTCTACTTGTGTGCCAAGTTATAATGAAATTGGACCAAAATTGTAGGAGGAGTAGCATTTTGAAAGAATTTCAAAGAAATTTCTATTTTTAGTAACCATGGCAACACCGTTCATCGAAATCAAAAACCGATGCAAAGAATTATGTATCTTAGTGTAGTCTACTTGTGTGCCAAGTTATACTGAAATCAGACCAAATCTGTAGGAGTAGCATTTTGAAAGAATTTCAAAGAAATTTCTATTTTTAGTAACCACCGCAACACCATTCATCTAAAACAAAAACCAATGCACAGAATTATGTATTTTAGTGTAGTCTTCTTGTGTGCCAATATATTGAAATTAAAACTGTAGGAAGTGGCATTTTGAAAGAATTTCACAGAAATTTCTATTTTTAGTAACCATGGCAAACCGTTCATTGAAATCAAAAACCGATGCACAGAATTATGTATCTTAGTGTAGTCTACTTGTGTGCCAAGTTATATTGAAATCAGACCAAAACTGTAGGAGGAGTAGCATTTTGAAAAATTGTACAGACAGACAGACAGACACGGACGGAGACGGACGCATTACTATCGCATAAGCTCTTCTGGTCTCTGACCAGTCGAGCTAAAAATCAACAAATTTGACCCTTTGGTCTTAGAGTTCGACCTTCCTTTCAAAAACTTATCCTTGGCCATAACTTTTGAACTGGTGGTGCTTGGGCTTTCATATTTCACAATTGTATTTCTTATGAGAAGACCCTACTTTGGGTACCAATATACCGGGAATTTAATTCGCATTTAAAACAAGAGGCCCATGGGCCACATCGCTCTCCTGAGAAGCTTTGACCATTCTGTTCTTTACCAGATTTCCCCCTTGTAATACATTAGGCATCCTCACCCTATCCCACTGATCATAATTAAGACATTTTGAAATCTACACTACCCCATGATCCTTCCATGTGCACATAAGTTTCAGCTTTTCTGGCCCAGTGGTTCTTGAGAAGAGATTTTCATAGATTTTTCCTATATATTTCTATGTAAAACTTGATTCCCCATTGTGGCCCTTCTCCCGGTAATTATGAAAACAAAGAATCTACACTATACCAGGATGCTTCCACATAAGTTTCAGCTGAACTGGCCCAGTGGTTCTTAGAAGAAGATTTTCAAAGATTTTTCTATATATTTCTATGTAAAACTTTGATTCCCCATTGTGGCCCCGCCCTTCCCCCGGGGTTATGATTTGAACAATTTAGAATCTACACTATAACAGGATGCTTCCACATAAGTTTTAGCTTTTCTGGCCCAGTGGTTCTTGAGAAGAAGATTTTCAAAGATTTTTCCTATATATTTCTATGTAAAACTTTGATTCCCCATTGTGGCCCCGCCCTTCCCCTGGGGGTCATGATTTGAACAATTTAGAATCTACGCTATGTCAGAATGCTTCCACATAAGTTTCAGCTTTTCTGGCCCAGTGGTTCTTGAGAAGAAGATTTTCAAAATTTTTTCCTATACATTTCTATGTAAAACTTTGATTCCCCATTGTGGCCCCGCCCTTCCCCCGGGGGGTCATGATTTGAACAATTGAGAATCTACACTACCCTAGGATGCTTCCAGATGTTTCAGCTTTTCTGGCCCATTGGTTCTTGAGAAGTCGATTTTAAAAGATTTTTCCTATATATATTTCTATGTAAAACTTTGATTCCCCATTGTGGCCCCGCCCTTTCCCCGGGGGTCATGATTTGAACAATTTAGAGTCTACACTACCCTAGGATGCTTCCACATAAGTTTCAGCTTTTCTGGCCCAGTGGTTCTTTAGAAGAAGTTTTTTTAATGACCACACCCTATTTTTGTCTTTTCTTGATTATCTCCCCTTGTGAGAGGACTTGGCCCTTTATTTTAACAATTTAAATTCCCCTTTACCAAGGGAAGCTTTGTACCAAGTTTGGTCAAAATTGGCCCAGTGGTTCTTGAGAAAAGTCGAAAATCTGAAAAGTTTACAGACAGACAGACGGACGGACGGACGACGGACAAAATGTGATCGGAATTTCCTGAGCCTTCGGCACATATACACACTGTACTAAATATCTGTAAATTTGGAGCAAATTCTGTGCAGCGGTTTAAGACGAGTCGGCTGACAATCTGTTCATCTCTTTCTTCAAGGTATGGCCAAAAATCTAAATTGAAAAGTGCGGAAATTCGAAGGAAAAAAAAAAAGGAATCGGATTTTCCTGGTAATATGCATATCTACACACCGTGTTCTAAATATCTGAAAAGTTTGACAATATTCTGTGTAGCGGTTTATGAGGAGTTGCGCTGACAAAGAAAACAGGACAGAAGGACTGACTGACGGAAGGGTCAAAAACATATACCTCACGCAACTTATTGTGTGTGGCATAAAAATTAATATGTTTTCTAATTTCTTCATTGTGGTCCAATATAATGATTAAAATTTGTGTCCTTTATTTATTGTAGATTTTCTTTTAATGCAGATCACTCTATCTAAATAAAAGTACCAGGAATTCAGAAATGTTTAAAGCTACATTCAAAGTTGAAACAAGTTGACAGTGAAGTTGTATTTTACAACACTGCGTGAAATATTAGGCGATTAAAATCCTGCGTTGCTCACTCTACAGTAGTACTAGTCTTCCTCCTTGAAGGGTTAAATAGGGGGATATATCCTCCCATCTCCTTCATGAAATTTCACTGCACAGTTGACAAATTAACCTAGTAATTGATACTGAAGATAACTAGGGACAACACCCCTTTTATGGCAAAGTAAACTCTCTCAGGACATTAGGAAAAGTCTTGTATGAAACTGGATTTTTTTTTGTATTGGAATTGTGGAAGCTGATCTTCCATGTATATGTCAATAGCAAATGATACCCATCTCTAAGGTATTGAACTGAAAAATAAAACTGGATTTTTTTGTATTGGAATTGTGGAAGCTGATCTTCCATGAAAATGTCAATAGCAAGTGATACCCATCTCCAAGGTATTGAACTGAAAAGTCCTGAAATCTTATCATTTGGACAAACAATGCCTTTTATGTTTTAAAAATGAACATAAATCATATTGCATAATTTTGTGAAAAGTTTTGATCAAGCACAAAACAAGATATCAAAACAACACCGTACACTGGGTATGACATGTGTAAGCTGTGAAATGGAGGGAGTTTGGGGTAATCTGTGCTGGAGATACCATGTAGTGGACTGGATACACAATTTACTGGATACACAACTTACTAGATACAAGATTTATCTTAGAAAAGCCTTGTATAAATTCATTTATTTCTTAAATGGAAAGGGAAAGGAAAAAAGGAAAATAGACCTATACTTAGTAGTCAACATCCCAGCAATTGTGAAGCAGACTTAACCTAGTCTGAGATGTTTTAAAGCTATGCAGTAGTTGCTTTTTACTTGACCCAATCCCGGGACAGTGTTGTAAATCACACTAGTCCTCATCAGCAATAATTGATCTTGAAGCTCATCTCTTTGTGGAGTTATGTATAATGGACAAAATTAATCATAGATCTACTGGAACATCTACATATTGTTCTTCTTAAAGTTTAAGAGAGAGAGAGAGAGAGAGAGAGAGAGAAAATGACAAACAACATGAAGGCCTGTCACTGCATGCTGATAAATAACACACTACAAAGGAGATACCAGCAAAACAATGACAAGAGAGTCAAACAATTTTATTTTATAAACAAAATGAGGTGATGAAAAATGCAACTACTTCAATAATGCCTTCATAGCATTTTATCACTTATATATAGTCTTCTGAATTAAAAACATCTTTACATATACATAGAATATTAATTATATCACATAACGTCTTTATTTATTTATACACATTTAACAGTATATACAAATAAGTTAACCAATAAAAAAAAATCACCAGAGTTCAAAGGTCAGATGGAAGATTGTAGGCTGCCCAAAAGGTTGAAAGATCCAATCAGATAAGAGGCTGTACAACAACAAATTTCTGGTTGGTTGCATGATTTGCACACAATACTGAGAGTGAATGCCATTGGAGGAGAGTGCTGTCCAGTGATTGGTCAGAGCCTTAGTTTCCACCCTTACCTGCGCTACAGTTGACGGTCGGTGTGGTCTGATTTAGGGGGGTGGGGGATTTTGTTGTGTTGTTGTTTGTATTACTGGCTTCCTTTGATTTCTCTAATGCTTCTTTTCGTTTCCTTTCCTCAGCATCTGAAATAAGGTAATATTTTACATAATGAATTTAAAAAAAAAAAATAAACAATGCATTTGTATTTTTCTCTTCCCCAGTTCATCAGGTTTGTGACCCAAAAGTAAGACGATCTGGACAGCATGATCTTGATCAGAATTCTGATATACTAATGTAATGGCTTAAAATGCAACTGGGCTGTGCTCTGGATCTAAGATATCTCAGCCTATGCTGTATGAATTAATCTTAATATTTCTTATTTACTGTTTAGGCAGCATATGATTTAATAAATGTATAACCTGGGTAGGGACATCTCATAGATGTATAAAAGTCATTGATGAAAAGCATCAGTTCCAAACCAGGCTATACAAGTATAACTTGAGGTAGCTATTAACTTCATTCCTTATACTTAAATTTTTTTGACCTGCTTTTGGGTCAACAATTATACATCGACTGACAGGATTTACTAGTTCTTGTCTGTTTAGTGGACAAAATGTCAAAGATATAATTATTTCCACTTTTTCAAGGACTTATTCCTAATCTTTAGTACAAATGGAAGTCCTTGAAGCAAGGGTATCAGTGAACAGTTAGATAAGAATTGGCCAACATTTTCTTGAGATATGCTCCACATTAACAAGTTATGCACCACACAGCACAAATGGTAATTGCATTCACTTCTGAGATCTGTTGGGTTGGGGGACATTGTATCTGAATCTGCTACTAGATTTAGACCTACCTTTGGCAGCCTGCTCTTTCCATCGGATTTTATTGTCTGCCAAACAATTGGCCCATGGAGTGTTCAGTGCATATTTACCTTTAAAAATCAAAATAAGACACCTGTATAGTAATGAAGTTACATAGCAGAACCAGATGGAATCAAATGCATTGGTAACAAAGACATTACTATTTTTTAAAATAACAATTGAATTATATTTTCAACATAATCACACATTGAACTAGAACTGATGTTTGCTTATAAGGGTCGGCAGTCCTTTTCACAAAAATCTTTTAATTTTCCTGCTAAGAGAAATCTTACAAGATTCATGAATTTAAATATAAGTTTAAAACTGAATTTTCTGAAAAATACTACAGAGCTACATGAAGTCAATAACACAAAATAAATATTTGTACAATTTTGATACCTTTAACAATACCAAACTATAAAGTTATCACTTTTCTTCACAAATGAAAGTACAAAATATATATACATAACATAGTAACATAATAATGACTATTAACTGATTATAAGGTCAGATACATAAAAATAACAGTAAATACTATAATCAATTACAAAACCACCCAACAACCCCCAACCCTCCCCAAAAAATACAGACATTAAAACTTAGAATTGTGAGTTGACTACAAATGAAATGACAGTGCCTCCAACCAAAGCCAAGCTTGAGTACAGATGCAGCACAGCGATACAGACAGCGGTTACCTGTCCTTCTGGATTTCTCCCTACTAGACACTCGATGTAATGAATTTGTACTCGTACTTTTGTCAGCCGTGTCGAACACTTCCTCTGTGATGGCGTCTTCTGAGCGGGCCGCCTTCTGTAGCGGAGTCAGAATCTTCTCCAACATCTCCGTCATCACAGTGAAGCTGGGATCCACGATAAAGTCGATAAAACCTGAAATATAGGGTCAGTAAACGATATATAAAAATAACGTCAATAAAACCTAAAATATAGGGTCAGTAAACGATATATAAAAATAACGTCAATAAAACCTAAAATATAGGGTCAGTAAACGATATATAAAAATAACGTCAATAAAACCTAAAATATAGGGTCAGTAAACGATATAACAATAAACGATATAACAATAAAGTCGATAAAACCTAAAATATAGGGTCAGTAAACGATATATAAAAATAACGTCAATAAAACCTAAAATATAGGGTCAGTAAACGATATATAAAAATAACGTCAATAAAACCTAAAATATAGGGTCAGTAAACGATATAACAATAAAGTCGATAAAACCTGAAATATAGGGTCAGTAAACGATATATAAAAATAACGTCAATAAAACCTAAAATATAGGGTCAGTAAACGATATATAAAAATAACGTCAATAAAACCTAAAATATAGGGTCAGTAAACAATATAACAATAAAGTCGATAAAACCTAACAATGATCAAATATAAGGTTAGTAAACAATAGAGTCAATAAAACCTCAAATACAGGGTCAGGAAACGATATAAACGATAAAGTCAAGAAAACCTAACAATGATCCAAGATAGGGTTAGTGAAACAGAACAATGAATACAAATGAACGACTTAATAAAACAACAAATAACTTGAGCAAGAGTTTATAAAAACTACTTTATACAGGATTATTTTCACCCTGTATTATTTTTTATCTACCTATCTGTGACTCAGCCTCTAGGGTTTTTTTATTATACCTCTACTGTAATTACTCTATATACAATTAATACCATAAAACTGTCTACTTCCCCGAGAAGAGACTACTGCCCTCAACTGAAACTACACCCTGGAAAATCAGAGCTACTCCCTGGGACTAATTCCGCATAAATATTTATTAGTAATTTAAACCAATCAAAGTGTTCAGTAGACGGAGCGTTCAAGGAATCTCGAGTCTGTGACGTCATGTTATTAGCAATGTAACTATGACATCAAAACATTTTGACATGCGATGTCAAAATCATACTTGAATTCTAGCAAAATGAAGATAATGATAATTCTTCGAAATGTCAGTAAAAATACTATGAAAAAAATAATTTAATAGTTTTAGGACACGATGCATTACTTATCATACAATGTGTTAAACTGCATGCATTTGTAATTATGCCTCTACAGTGTTTTTTTTTTAAATGTCGGAATATCTGGTAAAAAAAATTAAATCGCCTATTATTGTTTCGGTATAATAAAACAGTTATGGAATGGGAACTCGGGAAATAGCAAATTTATGGTTCCCCTCGGCAGGAAACTATTTCCCTTGGCGGCGAATCGGGAAATAGTTTCCTCCCTTGTTGAACCATAAATTTGCTATTTCCCTCGTACCCATTCCATAACTGTATACTCTCGGTCACATAGGGGTGATTGGCAGTCCTTCACTACTACCTACCTATCTGTGACTCAGCCACTAGGGTTTTTTCCCGGTCACACAGGGGGGAGATGGGCAGTCCCAGCTCTTGTTCTCTGTCCCCCTGTTTGAAGAATTCCTCCAGAAGCTGACCAGTCCATCGTCGGTGAAGATTCCAGTCTTTGGCGGGGTGACTGATGTCAGCACAGTGTAGGACCAAGGATAAGGCCTTCTGTTTGTCTATGCTATAGATCAAATATTATTATTATACCTCTACTGATTTTTCACTAAGTAAAAGTAAATTGATATATTTTGTTGATTCCCTGAAAATCACCGTAAAAAGACCAATTCCCTGCAAAAAGGTGCATCAGTTTCAGACCTGTTTACCCTTATCGTTGTCTCTCAGTATTTTTGATTAGATTTGTCTGTGAGATTTGGTATTTGCCAGTAAGATTTCACTTTTCATAGATCTTGCATATATTAACAGAGAATAACTGTTTTTCTGATTACAAAAACATGGTTAAACAACATGGTCTTTGTCATTTTATAATACCACAGCACTTTGGCAACTCAACATCGCTTATGTGTTTGAAATCTTTCTTTTTTAAGCGATTTTAAAAGTGTGAAACAAGGACAGATCATAACGAAAACTAACTGCTAAATTACTTTTTCCGATTTCCGTACTTTCATTATAGCAAAATGTGAGACTAAAAATCCGTATAAAATACGGTGAAATCCTAAGAGTAAACAGGTCTGCAGTTTGATGAACTGATACACACCTATTCGGAACACCCAGTGATTCCTTTTATTCATATAAAAAGTAACGAGATGTTCCAAGTTAACATCAAGAACATTCATAATGAAGCTCACTTAACTTACATGTAATATTTCAGTATAATAAAACAGTTAAAAGAATATCATTGAGGGAGTCAGCAAGATTCTAGTTCCCCTGGAGCAAGCCTATTTCCCTCAGCCGTGCCTCAGTCAATAGACTTTCTCTTGGGGAACTGCAATCTTTCCGATTTCCTCAGTGATATTCTTTAACTGTATACCATGAGTCACGTCTATTCACATAACATGTTTAATATCTAAGTATTCAGTGCAGAACTTTTATATGATTCAAATAGAAACCTCTAGATCTGTGACACGAGGAATACTGAATTCTAATCTGACTTTGATTTCTATAGAGTCTGTATGTACAGTGATGGCAATACTAACTTCTCTGGCATGCCCAGTAAATTCTTCATGTTCTTTAACTGTTGGAAGTGGAAAGACATATCTGTGGCCATCACCATCTCTATCACTAAAGATCGGAATTCTCTACAAAGGAAACAATCGATATACTAACAAACAATACAGACAGCACATATATAATTATATATGATGGAAAATTAATGACTGCATAGGAAGATGTGGATTAACAGTCTCAATACAAATATGGTCCTGTGCTTTACTTAGATATATAAAATTGTTTTGTGTAAATTAAACTCATGCTTCCTGAATTGTTCAAATTCCTGTTTTGTTACAGTTATACAACCTCCTAAATGCTGCCAATTACAACATCATAAACATGCCCATACCAAAAAAAGGTACAGATTAGGCATGCCTATTCTTGATAAATATAGGCACAAAAAAGGTATACTTTAAGTATACAAGTTTGGAACCACTTCTTCAAGTATAGGTAGCAAATTGGTACAAAAAAGGCATACTGAAGGTATACTTTTCAATGATTCATTTTTTCTATTTCACATATAGGTACAGTTTAGGCACACATAAAACATTAGATTGAGCAGTGAGGCATACCTAAAGTATGCCTATACATAGTATGGCATATAATTCTAACAGTCAGATATGTACATTTTAGGTATACCTAAAAGGTGCCTACATATCAATCTATTAGGTACCTTCAAGGCTGTGCCAAAAGTATGCCAGAGGTATACCAAAAGTATACCTACAAGGTACCTATATTGTACCAAAAGCATTAATAGGCACATTTTAGGTACTAAAAAAAAACAGAATATTGGCACATCATCTAACTAGACCAGTAGGTACATTCCAGGCATACCTAAAAGGTGCCTACATATCAATCTATTAGGTACCTTCAAGGCTGTGCCAAAAGTATGCCAGAGGTATACCAAAAGTATACCTACAAGGTACCTATATTGTACCAAAGGCATTAATAGGCACATTTAAGGTACTAAAAAAGCACAATATTGGCACATCATCTAACTAGACCAGTAGGTACATTCCAGGCATACCTAAAAGGTGCCTACATATCAATCTATTAGGTACCTTCAAGGCTGTGCCAAAAGTATGCCAGAGGTATACCAAAAGTATACCTACAAGGTACCTATATTGTACCAAAGGCATTAATAGGCACATTTAAGGTACTAAAAAAGCACAATATTGGCACATCATCTAACTAGACCAGTAGGTACATTCCAGGCATACCTAAAAAGTGCCTACATATCAATCTATTAGGTACCTTCAAGGCTGTGCCAAAAGTATGCCAGAGGTATACCAAAAGTATACCTACAAGGTACCTATATTGTACCAAAAGCTTTAATAGGCACATTTTAGGTACTAAAAAAGCACAATATTGGCACACCGCATAACTATACAAAAAGGTACATTTTAGGCATATCAAAAAATGGGCTTTTGTTGACAAATCAACCACAAAACCCTGGAGTTAAAAATTTCTTTCTCCATCAAAATTTTTTAAATTTTTGGCCTTACATGAAAAATACATACTTATCATTCCTTGTGAATGGGGCAGGACTATTTTAAGGAAGAATTTAACAATAATTATCAGGTACAAGTAAAAATTTATTATATGATGCTACATGAAAATATATATGAAAAATATCTCTTTTAAATCCTATCTATAAACAGAATCTATATATGACAAATCTCCTATATTAAAAAAAAATTAATATTGTTACCTTTAACAAAATAATGATATTTAATATCATTCTTTGCAAGAAAAAAATAAACACACCTTTTCAGCATATACAAAACATAATTAATGTAATTTAAATACACAAAGACACCGTAAAGGTACTGAAAGTATACTCCATGTCATGTCCTTTTTTGGCCACACATTATTCACTTGCTGCATGTGCAATTCATGTAATCTTCATTACTTTCATAGAGTTCCTACCCAATTGGCACCACAGAATTTCTGCACAGTAATAGACCCTTTACCAGGGTAAATCCTCATTGCTGTACAGTTGCGATTTTCATCTGGACTCCTTATAAAAACTGATCCTCCATTTGAATGTACCACGCAATTCCTTCTTTCTTCTTTCATGCCATTCCCTTCAATTCTGAAAAAGTTGTTGCTCTTGAGTCTTCACTTACTGAGTGACATTTGAAATTATTTTCAAAAATATTAAATAGATGAAACCCATGCCTGAATCTATAGGGGAGGGGTCCGGGGAGTCTGGAACTTCCTTCCTACTTGCATTATGTATATATTATGTTATCAAATGTAAATATACTTAATCAGTTAAAAGTGATTTGGACACCCCCCCCCCCCCCCCCACCCCTACCCTGTGAAGATCTGCATCTGAAATTCCTAAAATTTACAATGTAGTTTGATAAGTGGTGATTAATTTTACTATTATTATATATATATATATATATATTTTTTTTCAAAAATCAGATTAGATTTCATACTTACTGACAGAGTTATAGTCTTTATGCATTTCCCCCAAGTTTAGAATGACTACAGGGGACAAGAATTTTGCTGAAAAAGGAAGTTTGTTCATGAAATTATGTAACATTATTATTAACAAAGTTTACACTAATTTGCATACATTCTTATTTTTTTAAATATAATACTGAAACATTGTCACTCTGAATTAAATGATGTGTGTCATACCCCCCCCCCCCCCCTTCCCCCTGGCATGAACCAAGTGGAGAAATAGGGGTTGAAGTGATTTTATGTAAACTTATAACATAAATTCAAATCAGTTAATTTTGTTATCTTATGTTTTATAAATGCTGTAATTTTGATACTTTAAATTAAAACGTTAAAAATTACCCCCCCCCCCCATTTTTTTTTATATAGAGATCTTTACTTTATATTTCAAATTTCATATGCCAATGATTAAATTTTCACACTGATCATTTGAATTTCTGTTTGTTATTATCACCATGCCCATGCAGAGGCTACTGTACATAACCTGTTCCGCGATATTGACACATTAATTACTCGTATAATTTTTTTCAAAAGACTCTGAAACTGTGAAACACTTTTTATGTCTTGTTACACATCAGGTTAAACAAAATAATTATTATTTATATGTCTTTACTTCATGTGTAGGCTGTAGCACTGGCTACACGGCCATCTTGAATCAAAACAAACCAAAAATCTACGGTACAATTACCTAGAATTTCGTAAAATTTACACTTGATAATCACATTCTAATGCATTCTTTACGGGCACAAATACATTAACAACAAGCAGCATAAAAATTTACACTGAAATAAAGACTCACCGACCTATAATTCTACGATTTCTTTTTGAGGTTTTCATCTCGGCCAATTTTCAAATCGTCTCTGTAATGTCCGCGCTATCCACTGACCAATCGTAGACTTCGCTGGAGTCACGTGATTTTATTAAAATTTATTAAATTATTCATAAAATATTTCGTGTAAACAATTAATAATTATAACAATGAACATTTAACAATTATTTAATGAAGCCCCAACTTAAACTGAAAGCCGATTGCGATGAAATCCTTGAAATTTAGCGTGGCTATTTTGGGCAAATAATTGAACCGCCATCTTGAACGCCATTACTATTTTGTGTTTGTTTACATAACTAATCACTTTCAAATTGATTAGGCCCCCTATTTTTTTTTTAATTATTCATAATTTTCTTACGTGTTGGATTTCAACTAAAATCTTTATTAATGTAACTGACACAAGAGAGTGATACAAACATCGAAATACATGTACATATGGACCATCATGTAAATTATAACATGTATACAATCCATAAATGCTTAGTATGTGAATAATTATAAATGATAAGCACCTGTATTTTGTGCATCTTGGGGGCTATTATTTGTATGAAATTTCTGTAAATGTACACATTTTTTTACTGCTACTTCCTAACTACCGGTAATAGTTAAAGCATCTCTATTTATTTCATTCTGTAATTTATTCTTTTGTATTTTACCCATTAATGTTGAGCTGAAAAATCTAATGAAATCACCATTTTGTCATGTTTGTGATACACGAACAATTTCTGCAGGGTGAAGGTCATCCGGTATTAACACCTGTGTCACTGAAGAATACTGTGGAAATCAACATCGTTTTGCATTCAAAGAAAACAAAGTCTATTTCAAAATACACCAGTAACTGGTCTAATGGATATAAATTCTCACCCTATAAAGTTAATTTAAACATCCCAAACATTTTTGTAGTTACAAAACGTACGAGAGAGAGAGAGAGAGAGAGAGAGAGAGATGCCGTGATCGCGTAATGGGACCTCTACTGGACATAGAGATGTGCATATAAATTTTATTACTGAACCTGGTTTTGAAAAAAAAAATGTATTTAGTTTTTAAAACGGTTAATATCCTAATAGTTTATCAGTTTATTCACATAGTTAAAAAACATTCATTTATCATTAAATTATTCAAGAGCAAAAGAAATTAAAGAATAATACTGCAAGAATAATACTGAGAAGCATCGTAACTAAGCAGATTTGGCTGTTGGTTACATGACTTTGTGTCCACTTCACTAGATGCACGGACTATACCTGATCTCTCTGTGGATTACCTGTGTATTATGTGCGTTCAAGCGAAAAGTGATTTCCTGTTTCTAATTGATATATACATATTTCACAGTATTGCAGAATTAGTTTTATAAATGCAACAAGTTGATAAAATGACATGTAAAAAAAAAAATAAATAATTTAGCAAGTGTGTGTGTGTGGGGGGGGGGGGGGGTCAATGGTCAATATAATTGTATAGTGTTTATAAGACAATCCCCTATGTCTTAGAGAATGTTAATCAAAGTTACTAAGAACTGACACTCTGTAAGACAAACTAGGGCATATTTTAAGAACAGAAATGGATCTTTACCTTTTATTTTCCTTAAGAAGATTAATTGAATTAATGATAATTGAGAGTATTCAGTAACAATGTTATCACCCCTCCCCATTTTTTCTTTCCACAACACCACTATATATTATACTGAGGACTTGAAATAATGATGTGAAATCTGAAGTATAATATAATTAAAAATTAAATGCACAAATTGTTGAATGATAATTCAACCCCACCCCCCACAACCCCACCCCGCTACAAAGAATCAGTCATATAATAAAGTATTTAAATTCAGGCACTTTGAAAAATGACTGAGTCCAAAGTAGGTACATTTTAGGCACACTGGAAAATATACAAGTTCAACATAGGTACATTTCTGGCACACTGAAAAATGACAAAGTTCATAGTAGGTAAGATGGAAAATATCTAAGTCCAAAATAGGTACATTTTAGGCACACTGAAAAATGACAAAGTCTAAAATAGGCACATTTCAGGCACACTGTGAAATGACAAAGTCCAAATTAGGTACATTTTAGGTACACTGAAAAATGACAAAGTCTAAAGTAGGCACATTTCAGGTACACTGTAAAATGACAAAGTCCAAATCAGGTACATTTTAGGTACACTAGAAAAAAATTAAGTTCATTTTTGGCACAGAATAGGTATGCATTTTCTGTACCTATAATAGTAGGCACACATTAGGTACTGAAAAGGCACAAAAAAAGTATGCCTATATGTACCTTTTTTTTGTATGGGTGTGCATTTTCCAACTTTTTCTCAAAAAGTTGCCAAAGACATTGTTTTTCTGCAGCATTTTCTTTTAGAAAATAGACCACATGCACTTTCCCCCCAATTTAGGAAATTCATGTAATTTCTTGCTGTGTCTACCCATCTCTATGTGGTGGGTAGGTACTGTATACAGGGAAATTTTCGCCCCTTTCGCCCTCTTCTTGATTGGGCGAATTTAAAACAGGGCAATTTCAAATTACACAGTAGAATTTCTTAAACAGAACTATGACCGGGCAAATTTAAAATGGGGCAAAATTGTTTGCAAGTGCAAAAGGGCGAAAATAACACGGGGCGAAAATAACCCTGTATAAAGTATTGTACTGTTTTGACATGTATAGTTCTTGGATAAGGAGGAAGATTTTGTAAATGTGTATTTTTATTTATGTTCTCTCCTGATGCTGTTGGTTTTATACTGTTTTGATCTGTGTGTGAATTTTTTCTCTTTACCCTATACTCCTCTCTGCTGATGCTGCTAGTTTTTATGCTATTTAATCTGTGTGTGAATTAAGTGTTATCTTTATACCTATACTCCTCTCTGCTGAGGTGGTTCAGTATATTGGCTTCCTCGGATCTCATGATTCGGAATGAGGCACATATATGGTGATTCTCCAGAACTGCTTTATCATTATATAGAATAGCAAATTCGGACCTGCAAGAAATAGCAATAAATAATAGTTATAACATCGATCCTCAAACTAAAAGCCTAACTAAAAGAACACAGCTATATGTAACCATGGCTAAGAAACCAGATTTCTTTGTTACTAGCCTCTTCTCTTCGTCAAGAATGGCCTTCTAATGCAGTTATATTCTCTTCCAATACAAAGCCTTGCCTTCTAGAATTTACACTTCAAGCCATTCAGAATTTGACACATTAACCTCAAGACCTTGACCTTGGCTAAATCCCGCTATATTTACCACATACTCTATGATCCAAGTAAATCCTCAGTCTAATTATGATTCTATCATTCAGGACTTACTGTTCTTATTCTGGCTACAGATTTATGTACAAGGAAACACTACCACACTTTGTTTACATTTAGGAAAATCAGTACTAGAATGTGTGAATAAATATTTCATTTCTTAAAAGTTTGTAAGCAAAGTTATTGAAGAATAATCTCTGGCCAATAAAATGTCAGTTATAGATTTTTCATGGTTTGTATACTCCTGACCTAAACTTCTTCTTCTGCAGGACTTTAATGATAGGATTAAACAGTGACACCACTGAGCAATTACCGGTAGTATTTTAAGCCTTGAACAAGTGCTATGGATATGTGATATTAATCATAACACTAGTACTACTAGGATAAAACATACCCCGTCTGAATGTGGAAATTATTTGTGGTTCCCGTGTGTTCATAGTCGTGGATCAGAGCAGCAATAATTGTAGCAAACACTTCCAGGTCTGTTAACCAATGCTGAAAGTAGAAAGAGCTGAACAATATGCAATCGATGCTCAATGGTAACAAGAATGTGACATTGATTAAGACTTGCTTGAAGATGTGACATATAGATATTTACTGCCAGCTTGCTGTGACAAACAGATAAATACTGCAAGTTTGCTCTGTGACAGATACTTACTGTCAGCTTACTTGTAACAAATAATTACTGCCAGCTTGCTCTATGACAGATACTAACTGCCAGCTTGCTCTGTGATAGATACTTACTTCCAGCTTGCTGTGACAGATACTTACTTCCAGCTTGCCCTATGATAGAACTTACTGCCAGCTTGCTGTGAGACAGATAAGTACTGCCAGCTTGCTCTGACGGATAAGTACTGTCAGCTTACTCTGTGACAAATACTTACTGCCAGCTTGCTAAGACTGAAAGATAAATCCCGGCAGCTTGCTCTGTGACAGATACTTCCAGCTTTCTGTGACCGACAGATAGATACTTACTGCCAGCTTGCTCTGTGACAGGATGAAGTGTACTGTCTGGGTCACATCCGCTCCGTGGATCAGGTTATGATACGGATTCTTATATTTGCTATATCCAGCTTCTAATTGCAGGAGGAAAGAGTCCAACATTGAATTATTTATCTTATATTTGGTAACCAAGTCATATTTTTGTAATAGTTCATAACCCACATATTTCAAAGAATGCCCTTCTGCTGCTGTGTTCAATGCAAATACATCAAAGGACCAATCATCCATGCCCTGGAAAAAAGACGAAACATTCATGCAATCATTTTCATTAGAAGTGCAGATATGTTTTCATACTTTTAGCAATGTGAATTATTCTCACCTTTAAAAGTGATAGAATTGCTGGGGGAATATGTAATGTGCCTGAACTGGAGAGTCGTCTGTAAATTCTACAACAGAAAATCATACTTATTTCACCGTGTTCGTTCTCATATCATAACTAGATATCAAAATTTCTTGTGCAATTTATTTTTTTCTGCCTCTGAACTACCTCCAAAGTTATACAAAATACAATAATTACATTAAGAATGTATATTTGTGTTGTACATAACAGAAACCAACTTAGGAACTAAAAATTTCCACTTAAATGATATTTATACTGACACTTTGTAATTTTTAAAGCAGTTAGCCAGTTAAATGTGTTGTCTTTTCTACCTACCTGTCCACCATAATACCTGCCCGGATGGCGTGAGCCACACTTCGGAATTTGGGCTTCTCTTGTCCTCTTCGTCGGACATTGTTCATTGACCTTGTGAAGGTCAAGGCCAGCCAATCTCTGACCTCTGTAGGGACTGCGTCAGGTTCCACCTCACTGAGTTCATCATCCTCATCTGTAAGTCGTCTACAAAACAATAAAACACAAGATGTTAGGTCTCCTACAAACCAAAGAGGAGTGAAAACACTGGACGATTCCTAAAATCTACAAGTCAAAAATCTGTAAAAAAAAAAGAAGGCTCATATGAATTGATTTGGTTGGACATGATTCTCGGGTGGCACATATGTGCTGTTTAGGGGAAACTTAATTTGCAAGGTCATAACCAAGAAAAACCTTCATAATGTCTAATAGTATCAATAATTAGCATAGAAATGGGGAGGAAGGCACAGACTCAATACTTTTGTTTTAGTACAGGTTTTAATGCAAAGAGGTTTTATTATTGGCATAAAATTAGTTTTATTACTGGCATTAAATTATTTCAAATGGTTCTCAGTGCCTCAAAATAGAAAGTTTTTCTAAGTTGTTAGATATTATTGTAACCAAATTAATTTTTTATATTAATCATACAATAAAATTTGTTTAAATAATTGGAGTGTATATAGACATCAGGAATGCTTCGTTAGAATCCATACAGCTGCATTATTATGTCTTCACACAATGACCATCACATTGTAATCACCAGAATGGAAGAAATTATAGGTGCACAACTATTTCTTTTATGCTCAATTAAAAATTTATGCAAAGTTACCAGTAGGATTTTTTGTAAAGGGCATGAGAGGGGGGGATGATCTAAATTCTGTGGACTTGATATATTCCTTATTTCTTTATGAATGTTTAAAGACCCTCCAGTTTGAGATGCTCGTAAGCTTGTTATTATTCTAACATTTACTGTGTAGTCAAATATTTGTGGGGTTTAATTTTTGTTGTTTTAAAGGAATGAAGAGAACCACGAATTCATGTCCCCCATGAAGTGTAAAATATTTCATATATAGTTACTCCACAATTCTTTATCCATGCACCAAATCAAATACTCACAAACCAAGAGTGTTTCCTAAAGCAACACAAATTTTAACCCACGAAAATAAGTAATTTTACAGTATTTACAGAAAAATAGAAAGTATGACTGTTTTCAAACATTCTGCTATGCTATCCATTGCTGTGTGCTCTGAAAATTTGAAAGTAATGACTTCTATAAAAATTTTAAAACGTTATGTTCAAATGTTATTCTTTATACTATAATCACAATCTGCATCCATTAAAATATGGCCTATAAATGACAACACTATCCTGATCAGTTAAAAATTATTTTTTTTGTTATCCAGTTATATTATACTAGTATTATGTAATTCTATACCTTATATTCCATCATCACCCTATCAAATCCTGCTTCTCATTTTGATGTCATAAGAAAATACTTAGATACAGAATGCAGACTTGCAGTGCACTTACTCCTTTTCCATGATCTGATCTGCTGGCAAATTTTGGTCAATAACAGGGAAAAACCTTTGTGTTATTATCATACGACGGGTTGCATTTTGAAACACTGTGTCATTCTCTCTTTCTGAATTAGATTCAGCCATTGGTTAAATTCAGATACAGTTAATCACAGTTATGTTTACAGCCTAAACTAATCCCTTCATCTACACTTTCTGCCATGACAGGAAGTGACATCATCAAACATTTATGACATCATCACGGGTCATGTTTCCCGAACTGCTGTCAGGTCAGTGCATTTTAGATTTTTAGTGTTATGACTTATGATATACAAAGGTTTGTGACTTTGCTGATGTAATCATGCATTTGATTAATGGATACAACCCTCAGTAATCAACTCTATAGCATTCATGTTATCTTACAATGCTTACAATTAATTTTTCAAGGGGAAAGGGGGGGGGGGTTTAAAAGTTTTAAGGGAGCTAATATGTATAGTTTCAAGGTTTGACAAAAAAATTACCTTTAATAAAAAATAAGTTACATTCATACTTTTAGCCAAGACACAAACTGCATTTCTTTAAAAAAAATATCTGTTGCACATTCTTTGTTTTTAAATTCTGTTATCTGCTAGTGGTCAAGAATCATATTCTTTGATGTCAACATTTGAGCATGTTTATATTAATATGCAAACAATTTATCACATCTATAATGTCTATCTAAGCAGCACTGATACTCATTAAAAGAAAGGAATCCATGCACTAATTCTGCAGTATCTCTGATTGATAATTTGATTTCAAATGTATTATGTGAATGACTGTTAAAATGGTGCTAAAGTTACTTCTTGGATGACTTTTCTGGATTAATGATCTTATAATCCTACTATGTTAACACACACTCATTAGAAGTTCACACTAGATCACTCTTATATGGGGACTACTTCTCGTGACGCTATTGTTAGTAGACTCAGATGTCAGAAGTTAATGAAAACAGGCCCAACGTATACTTACTCCTGGGCAGACTTAGGGAGAAGTGGTGGTGTTTCATTGGAACTGAAAAAGAGTGACAGTTTATACAACAGAATTCACTGAAACTTGGCTGGAGGCTTCCCAGCTGCTGCTGAAGCAGAAATGTTACACTTTTGTGACCTTGACATTTAGGGTCCTTATAAATTTAAAATCCTTTCCATATTATATATCCAGGGATTGTCCACAATTTTAAATGACGAAGGAGGATCCAAAAATAATAAAATTCTCTAAGGAAAAGACAAGATTTTAGGTCACATAACAAGGATAGCACTGACCGTGAAAGATGAGCCTGAATAAAGAGCAGCAAAAATTGTTTGGTTGCAAGATTTAAATTAAGAGTTGAGACAAAATCTAGCGAATGCAGTTCCTTTTTTACCATTGAAGACCATTATATAACCTCTGTACTGGTCAATGTCTATATGTTTATCAAGACATGCATTAGTCCTTGCAGCCACTGACAGGTTTAAAATAAAACGAGTAAATCATTAGCATTAAAACATTGACCTTGGCAGGTATGACCCTCAGAGAGAACAGTAACCTTGAAATTTTGTGCTAATTATAGCTGCATATTGAATTTTTAATTAAGATCTTTTCGAAGAAAAACATTGATTTACTGATGAAACTAAGCAGCTTATATTCTCCTTGAACTTTTTTTCTGCATTTAATCTGGCATCAATAATACAAAATCAACCATAAATCTTTCTTTAATGTAATGATTATATGTCAAGAAAAAAATGTGCTCAAAACACAGAGATCGTGGTGATAATTGAAGGGAAAAGTTGTTTTTTGTAAGTTCAAGATTTTAAAATGCAATTTTAATTTTTTTTCAAGTGCTTCAAAAGCATTTGAATAAAACCTGAGAACTGGGAACATTACTTACTAAAATTTGAGGTAGCATAAAAGATTTCAAGCTAAAATGAAGAATATAAAAAAATCTAATGGCTTAATAATGTGTTTAATTACAAAATATTTTATTCTGTTCTTTCTATCGCAAAGATTTAAAAATGAAATTGATGCAGTTGTTACTGCACCTACTGATTTTCAATTCATATTTTTTAAAGATTAAATCTGAAATAATTATATTCACATTACAAACAGTCAATCTCTCATGCACAAAATGTCATTATATAAACATGCTCATTACTTTGGTGAAAGACTGAGGATGCATTACCATAACATTTTTTTAAGAAAAAAGTCTTAATTAAAAAATACCTTCAAAGAAAATCTTAGTTAGCTTTCACCCTTGTCAATAATTAAATATCAAATCTAATAGCTAAAAAGTCCATTAAACAATAAAAACTCTTTTGGAGCAAAGCAAACATGGATCTTCAAAACATCAGAGGTGGGATCAGGTGCCATAGAAAAGAGAGCATCCCCTGCCCACCGACAGAAGATAACATTGAAATAACACTTTTGATGACCTTCAACCTTGTTCAATGAGTACAATATGCTTTTATTAATAGGCACACATTTTAGATGTGCTAGTACTATGGCATCTGACATGTTGAAGTGATTTAGATAGAAGTCCCAATCCTTTAATCATGTTTTAATTCTGTAAGTATTTTACCCTTGATTTCTTGAAGCATAGGATCTTGGATTTTTTTTGTTGTTGGTCCAATTAACATTTGAGATGAACTGTACTCAGTTTAGACAATATAAGAGACAACTGATTTATGAACCAAAAATGCACGTCCCCTTGACAAACAAATTCTTCGTTTGAGGTACAGCAATGCCAAGGACATGTGAATGTCACAATATTCAAAATCTGTGTTTTTTTGTAAAAATACTCCTGATTTTGGATGATAATGTACCTATCTAGATATATGGATCCATTTACTTACAGAAAATATGGGAAAAGAAAAACTCAACCAGAAGTCTCTGTCGAGACTAAAGCTCTACTGGTTTGTACTTATTATATAGCAAAGGAAGAGAAAAGTACTTAAGCAGTTGGGAATTGAAACTTTACAACAGCAATAAATAGAATAATGATCCTTGATTAAGTCTCATTATGTTCTTAGTGTAGTCTACTTGCATGCCACATTATATTATAATCAAACTGTATTTGGAGTAGCATTTTGAGAGTATATACCAGAAATTTTTATTTTTAGTAACTGTGGCAACACTGTTCATTGAAGTGAAAAACCGATACACAGAATTATGTATCTTATTGTAGTATGCCAAGTTATATTGAAATAAGACCAAAACTGTAGGAGGAGTAGCATTTTGAAAATATTTTACAGAAATTTCTATTTTTAGTAACCACGTCAATACCGTTCATCGAAATCAAAAACCGATATATAGAATTATGTATCTTAGTGTAGTCTACTTGTGTGCAAAGTTATATTGAAATCAGACCAACACTGTAGGAGTAGTAGCATTTTGAAAAATTTCACAAAAAATTCTATTTTTAGTAACCACGGCAACACCATTCATTGAAGTGAAAAACCGATACACAGAATTATGTACATGTACCTTTTTGTAGTCTACTTGTGTGCCAAGTTATATTGAAATAAGACCAAAACTGTTGGAGGAGTAGCATTTTGAAAATATTTTATAGAAATTTCTATTTTTAGTAACCACGTCAACACCGTTCATCGAAATCAAAAACAGATACACAGAATTATGTATCTTGGTATAGTCTACTTGTGTGCCAAGTTATATTGAAATCAGACCAAATCTGTAGGAGAAGTAGCATTTTGAAAAAAAATCTCAAAAAATTCTATTTTTAGTAACCACGGCAACAACGGTCATCGAAATCAAAAACCGATACACAGAATTATGTATCTTAGTGTAGTCTACTTGTGTGCCAAGTTATATTGAAATAAGACCAAAACTGTAGGAGGAGTAGCATTTTGAAACAATTTCACAGAAATTTCTATTTTTAGTAACCATGGCAACACCGTTCATCGAAATCAAAAACCGATATACAGAATTATGTATCTTAGTGTAGTCTACTTGTGTGCCAAGTTATATTGAAATCAGACCAAAACTGTAGGAGGAGTAGCATTTTGAAAAATTGTTTACAGACAGACAGACGGACAGACAGACAGACAGACAGACAGACAGACGGACGGACGACGGACGCATTACTATCGCATAAGCTCTTCTGGTCTCTGACCAGTAGAGCTAAAAATGACATAAAATACACTCAGTAGATCAGAGTAAAGCTTAATAAATGCTCTGAGTCTCATGTTTTTTTTTTATGAAAATAGGAAGCAACTGGAGAGTTACCAAGTTCAGGTGCTGAACGTCAAGAAAAATGAGGTCAGAGAATTCTAATCCAGTATTTAATTACTAATATCAACATCTTGATGAAACTTAGATTTGGTGACTTTGATATCAAGGTCACACGACTGCAGCGGCTTGATTATCTGTTATGAAGACATATTTATACAAGTCAATGATTTAAAAGAAAATGAGTTAAAAACGAAAATCAACAGGTACATTCAAAAGGGAAATCAAAGTAAAACAAAAATAGTGACAGTGAACTGTTTTTACTTAATATCAGTGTATGTAACTAGATAGCATTAGGCAACTCAATATCTAAACATTTTAAAATTATAGTTATATGTTTTAACTAGAACTATCCAAACGGGACAAAGTACCCCCAGCTGGATTTTTCAGAGGTGCTAAATCATGAATAATTTATAGATTTAAGAGAAGAGAGAAATGCTAAAACATATTTTTAGTGCAAAGGTTATTGCTCATTATATCTTTTATAAATGAAACGAAGGTGCAGCCTAATAAAATAAATAGACTAAATATACAGACCAGACATGAATTATGAACTTTTTCTGTCAGTGACCTTGAACTTTCCCAAATGATGTTGGATCAAGGTCAGAACACATCCTTAGGTCATGAGCAATCTTTTTGTGAAATGAGAACCTACCAAGTTTATCCATAAGAAAGATATGGACCAGACACAAACTATGATGAACTTTTTCCGTCTGTGACCTTGAACTTCCCCAAATGACCTTGGGTCAAGGTCATGACACCCCCCCCCCCCCCAGGCCATGAGCAATCTTTGTGTGGGTAGTAGATTCTAATGTTCCTCCGTAAGAAAGATATGGACTGGACATGTCTGCACAGAGAGACGGACAAGCTGATTCCTATATACCCCCCCAAAACTTCGTTTGCAGGGGGTATAAATAATAAATTTTAAACAAAGGTGACATAATTGAAATGTTTTTTTTTTTACATAGATGCATGTATTAAATTGACTGAAAGAATATCAAATACAGAGTGTTTAAGAAAACCATTATAATAAGGAAACCAGAAGTCTCTGTTGAGACTGAAGCTCTACTGGTTTGTACTTATAGCAAAGGAAGAGAAAAGTACTTAAGCTTTTGTGAATTGAAACTTTACAACAGAAATAAATAGAATAATGATCCTTGATAAAATCTCTTTATGTTCTTAGTGTAGTCTACTTGTGTGCCAAGTTATATTGAAATCAGACCAAAACTGTAGGAGGAGTAGCATTTTGAAAGAATTTCACAGAAATTTCTATTTTTAGTAACCACGACAACACCGTTCATCAAATTCAAAAACCGATGTACAGAATTATGTATCTTAGTGTAGTCTACTTGTGTGCCAAGTTATTTTGAAATCAGGCCAAAACTGTAGGAGGAGTAGCATTTTGAAAGAATTTTACAGAACTTTCTATTTTTAGTAACCACGGCAACACCCTTCATTGAAATCAAAAACCGATAAATAGAATGATGTATCTTAGTGTAGTCTACTTGTGTGCCAAGTTATACTGAAATCAGACCAAAACTGTAGGAGGAGTAGCATTTTGAAAAAAATTCACAGAAATTTCTATTTTTAGTAACCATGGCAACACCTTTCATCGAAATCAAAAACCGATACACAGAATTATGTATCTTTGTGTAGTCTACTTGTGTGCCAAGTTATATTGAAATCAGACCAAAACTGTAGGAGGAGTAGCATTTTGAAAGAATTTCACAAAAATTTCTATTTTTAGTTACCATGGCAACACCATTCAACGAAATCAAAAACCGATACACAAAATTATATATCTTAGTGTAGTCTACTTGTGTGCCAAGTTATATTGAAATCAGACCAAAACTGTAGGAGGAGTAGCATTTTGAAAGAATTTCACAGAAATTTCTATTTTTAGTTACCACGGCAACACCGTTCATCAAAATCAAAAACCGATACATAGAATTATGTATCTTAGTGTAGTCTACTTGTGTGCCAAGTTATATTGAAATTAGACCAATTAAACTGTAGGAGGAGTAGCATTTTGAAAAATTGTTTACAGACAGACAGACGGACAGACGGATGGACACCGGACGCATTACTATCACATAAGCTCTTCTGGTCTCTGACCAGTAGAGCTAAAAAATCAGGAAAACAAGGACAAGGTCAAAAAGAAGGTCTAGGTCAAAGCTTTGGAAGATCTTGATTAAAAATTATTCTCTCCAATATTGATATATCTGCTTGAGGGTTTGTTTTATCAAGGAAAGTTTAAAACTAAGCTGAATGAAAAACTAATCTCTCAAAATGCAATGGACTGTCAGACAAAAGATAAACCAGAAGTCTCTGTCGAGACTGTAGCTCTACTGGTTTATACTTAAATCGAAGGAAGAGAAAAGTAGCAATTGGGACTTGAAACTTTAAAACAGCAATAAATAGAAAAATGATCCTTGCCACTCATCAAAATAAAAACCGATGCACAGAATTATGTATCTAAGTATCTAGTCTACTTGTGTGCCAAATTATATTGTAATCGGACCAAAACTATAGGAGAAATTTCTATTTTTAGTAACCATGGCAACACTGTTCATCGAAATCAAAAAACCATGCACAGAATGATGTATCTTAGTGTAGTCTACTTGTGTGCCAAGTTATATTGAAATTGCACCAAAACTGTAGGAGGAGTAGCATTTCGAAAGAATTTCACAGAAATTTCTATTTTTAGTTACCACGGCAACACCTTTCATCGAAATCAAAAACCGATACACAGAATTATGTATCTTAGTGTAGCATACTTGTGTGCCAAGTTATATTGAAATCCGACCAAAACTGTAGGAGGAGTAGCATTTTGAAAGAATTTCACAGAAATTTCAATTTTTAGTAACCATGGCAACACCGTTCATCGAAATCAAAAACTGATGCATAGAATTATGTATCTTAGTGTAGTCTACTTTTGTGCCAAGTTATATTGAAATCGGACTAAAACTGTGGGAGGAGTAGCATTTTGAAAGAATTTCAAAGAAAATTCCATTATAACCACGGCAAAAAAATCAGGAAAACAATGCACAGAATTATGTATCTTAGTGTAGTCTACTTGTGTGCCAAGTTATATTGAAATCGGACCTAAACTGTAGGAGGAGTAGCATTTTGAAAGAATTTCACAGAAATTTCTATTTTTAGTAACCATGGCAACATCGTTCACCGAAATCAAAAACCAATGTACAGAATTATGTATCTTAGTGTAGTCTACTTGTGTGCCAAGTTATATTGAAATCGGACCTAAACTGTAGGAGGAGTAGCATTTTGAAAAATTGTTTACAGACAGACAGACAGACGGACGGACGACGGACGCATTACTATCGCATAAGCTCTTCTGGTCTCTGACCAGTAGAGATAAAAATATAAGATGGATAGAAAATTGGACATGACAAAAAAATTGGTCATAAAAATTCATCAAATTTTAATTTGTATGCATATGTCTCAAACCAATGGCTGCTTTAAAATCAGATTTACTGAAGTATAAAGCTTTATACATAGAACTCTCTATCAACAAGTGGGCACTGCATACAAAAACTCTTTCACTTTTTTGTTTGAACAGAAAATATTTGATTGTCCATTTTCTGGGATAGTCTTGAATTAAAAAAGGAATGATAGCATCATCTTTACATCCTATATTACACCAATAGCACACACAGGGGTATAGCTGAATTTGTGCAATTTTAATCAACAGTAGTGTGTTATTATGCAGAAAATCTCAGTTCAAGCATCTACAATTCTTCACTTTGACAAGACAGTGTTAACTTTATAGACAATATTAGTTTTTTATTCCTTACTTTATATCTACAGACTAAAGTTAATGACATTGCTTTATTTAGCTTTAATAATGTCAGATAATGACAGACACAGGGAACATTTCTCCAGTTTTATCCTCTACCAGAACTTCCTGATCGTCAGTTATTTATGTTCGTCAGTTCCATTAATGTAGAATCATTTATCCATGCATATATATCATAAAACGTAACAGTGTTAGACTACTCTATGTACAATGTCATAAATATTAGATCAATACTTTAATATATCACTGGTGATGTATGCCAAAAAACTCACAAAACATGATATTATATATGTGTACATCAAAAAAGGAAAAACAAAACATTAGAAAAACTGTTTGTAATTGAGTCAGTCTACAAAAAATAAAAACCAAACAAAACTCTAAAAGTTCACCCACGCGTGTACAGTGCATAAAACAATTCGTTCAAATCGTGCATCACCACTTACTTTTTGAGGGTGTCCTTATTCGTACTGCAATCATCAAATGATCAGATCAGAAAAATGTCAGGCCAAATCAAAAACAATTTCTGTTACATTCTTTTTTTCTTTTACAACATTTGTTTCAAACCATATGTATCTGACTCATTTTCTTACATTTCTAATATAAGAAAAAGAATCTGATTCTATGCTACTAAAGGTATTCTACTGACATAAACAGAATGTGGCTAAATGTACAAAACAACATGATTCTCCTACCAAAAGATTTAAAGGCCATTATTTCCATTTACAGATTGTAAAGGCATAAAAATACATGTCTTTGAAAAAATAATGCTGGGTGCCTCTACAAATGCCTGCCCTAACAATCAGGCCCTAGGTCCTGTGGACACTTCTCTACTGGAGTATAAGGTTATTACAAGACTCACCTGGTTTCGTCGATGTAGACAGACTCCAGTACTGAGGCAGCGTATTCCAGATTCTTGTACAAGTCTTCCTTAGACACTTCTCCATTCTGTACTCTTCTCAAAATATTTCGTAAGCTGGAAAAAAATACATAGTGAGTTTCTCACTTGATCCTTTCATCTCTGAACAAAACATGTGATCTGCTTTAGCTCACCAGATGATAAATATTTCCCTCAATATTATCTTATCATACAGACTCTGTTTTTTTTTTTAATATCAGTACATTCAGTACTTTGATTTCTTACCGTATTGAGCAGACATGAGAGGCTTCAGGGGTATCTATTGGAGGAAGTTTATCTGTACCAAGATCAACACTTGCGTAGGAATCACTTTCTGCGATACTTGACGTCCGACTACTGCTACTGGAAGGTAATTTTGATTTGGAGTTTGTTCTCTTTAGCACTGTCAAAGAACCAGCCCCTGAAAAAGAAGACGGCTTCAATAGGAATCAAAACAGAAGTCTTTGAAGAGTGTGTAGCTCTACTGACGACTCTGATGAAGTGTTTTCTTTATCAGCCTTTCTCAGAGCTTATTAGAAAGCTATTGATCATACTCTTTAATTCATTTACATATTCTGATGAAGTCATGATCAGCACTCAGCACTCCCCTTGTATTAAATTTCTTCAAACTAGGAAAAAACCCAGAGAGAATTTAGAAATTTACATTGAAATACCTTGTCGTACAGACAAACAGATTATCAACAACTTACCAATAACCACACTCCGTCTGGTTAATGACTGAGTCTTAGTATCATAAAACATCCTAAGTCAGAATCTACATGTAATATTGTACAAGTTAACACTGTTTTCCAAACATACAGTTTAAATTTACTTCACAGCTAATAAGCACTGAAATGTCTAATTCTGTTCCATAAACCAAGGATTATTATTGCCAAGAATTATTTTAATAAAAGTATAATATAATGAAAGTGCTAAAACTGGAACTGATGGAATCTAAAAATATATATATTTTGATTTTTTTTTTCAATATTGCACTCACAATGGGAGATAGACATTTTACATTCAAGCCAACATAAAATATTACCTTAAAAACAATAATGTCAGAACAGGGCCTACTACTGTATGAACTAAATAATTATTTCAATAATATCGAATAATTGTGTTGTTTTATTGCTAATTGTAGAAATACTGATTTTTGTGTTTTGTAGATTATTCCAGCAATATAAAGGCCCATCCTCTGTCACTAGTCAAAGGATAATGATACAAGCTGTCTGTAATTAAACTTGTATCTACCATCTTGATTGCTTTAGCTTCAGATATATTTTTTTCACTTGTTGACGTCAACATATTATCCCAATCTCCAGTAAAATCAAAGCCAATAAAACAAGACACAAACATCAATAATCACTACCCCCTTTCCGATTTCTCCAGTACAATATAATCAGGGATCATAACCTGATGACATTACGACTTGTTATTGGTTTAGATAACCACTGAGAGCCTCTATTCAGCCTTCTTTGTGAGATTTGACTTTCTTTCAGGAAGATAAGACTTCAGTCCTTATTGAAGCGACTCTGGGGCCTCGGTCCAACTCTGAAGACGTCGACCATCCGTTACCAAGGGACATGTACTTTACTTCCCTTAATGATAGCCGCGTATCTTTATACATGTACTAAATGTTAAATGTCAATTTATCATTATCACAGAATCCCTGCACTTTATCCCAAAGTTCTTGTTGACAATTACTACATCCTATTTATAGATAAATTTCTGAGTGGCGTTTTTACTTTTTTTGTAGGCAATCTTTCCCTCTGATTTGCTGTAATTTCTTTCTCAATTGAAGTAGTATTTTTTCCATTAATTTATATGACGACTTTAGGGTGTATAGAACCTGATTGTTGGTGACTACAATCGCGGTTGCCTGCGGTATAAAATTGATCTCAATCCCTCAATGGCATGCTAAGTCTATCTCTTCCATTGTTTCAACACTCCAGGGACAAAAAAGCAATCCGTTTGGGCCGTCAAAAGATCAGGTTTCACAAAACTCATTTCCTACTCAGATTTTTCAATATTTTCAATAGTTCGTTTTTTTTTTGTTTGGATTGATTGCTCAAAGGGGTAAGTTTATGATGAAACAAGAAATCAGGCCCCTTCCTCTCTTCAAGTACATCGCGAATTCAATTCAACATATCAAGATGCACCTCCTCACAAATTACCCTGACTTAAAATCAAACCCTGAAGATATTTTTATCTCAATATGACCTGTATCATATTATTCTACAGCAATCTATGTTAGGGTTACTTCAATCCATCTCAATAATAACACAGATTGGACTAACCTTAGTTCTAACTGACAACTCTCCACTCACTGACAACTCTCCACTCACTGAGTGTTAGTTAAGGAAGGTTTTTTAAGTTTTGTGTGAATTATTGGTGTGTGAATCACAAAGACTTGTCACCTAGGCATATTTCATGGAACGCGCTAGCGCTTCATAAAAATATGCCTATGTGTAAGTCTGTGTGATTCACACACCAATAATTCACACTGTACGAGGGTTGTCTGTAAAGCTCGTGGACAACATTGATAATTACTGACAAACATTGGAAAAATGTATGAAACAATTATTTTCATTAAATTCATGTTTCATTTTATTAACATCCAAGTTTTCAACAAAAACAAAGCACAAAGTTATATTTTTTTCAGATTGAAAAAGACAGACACTCATACAAGGAGCACTAAAATGATTATTCTTGACATTACCCGACGTCAAAAGCATATGATACGAGTTAATGTAACTTTTCTCAACAAAGTCATCGTTTAACTCAATACATTTCTTATGTCGCTTTATCCTGCCGTAAATATGTGCACAGAATGTTCAGGTTTCATACGTAAAATAATATTTAACAATGCCTGTCTCATATCCTGCAATCATATAACCTCTGTTTGCGTAAAACAATTTTATTTACGGAAATACGGTAAAGTCAAGTTACGAATTCATTTTTAGGCACTGCAATCTCGGACTGATGGTCACGCATGTCGTACTATAAGCTGTTCCTTCTGTCCGAAAATATTATATGCCACTTAAATACTAATGTACCACTTCTCTTACTATGTTTTCCCAATGTTTACAGTATGTATTGGTCTTTGTAGGCGTTTATCCGATGTCTACGCAGAATTTTATCATTGCTCATGATCACTGCTCCACCTATTCCAAAAACGTACATTTTTTTAAACAATTCTGACCTGTCTTCATATCTTCTAACTTTGATTGCTCAGCCATTTTAAAACTTTGAATGTTCAAATTTTGCAGGTTTGAACAGTCTAGTCGAACCCTCAAACGGGGGTATACCCCCAAACGAGGGTTTTCCTTCCCTTAATGCAACGCACGAAAGCCAAAGTGGAATTCAAGAACGATAATTCTTCTTTTTTTAAAAAAATATTTTTAAAAAAAAAAATCACAAACATGCAAAAATGATTCGTTTACACTTTGTTTTCAATTAAAAAAAAATAATAAATTAATTTTCGTTATTTACCTCATTTCTGAAACACAAAAGTTTGTTTACAAGACAGAGGAAATTCGGACGGGCACAGAAGAAAGTGTCGAAAATAATAAATAACATGTTCATTACACAAAATTTGTAATACCGGGGAACGGAATTATATGTAGTTTAACTTTAAACAAAACATTGTTTGTTTATTCATCCGTTTAATTAAATTATGCATAAAAAATCTAGTTGTATCAAACATGGAGGTCAAGGCACAGAATACGCTAACTTTGGAAGAGAAAAAGTCTCGATTTTTACAATAAACATATACTTTTTCGCAATACAATCTCTTTAAACATCTTTAATCTATCAAATTTGAGTACATACAGGGCTACGAAATAATCCATCACTTTGCACGAGCATATTTTGTGGACCACACGTTTTTTCCGTGAAAACGGCACTTTTTGAGTGTCTGCGCATGCGCCGTACCCCCGTTTGAGGGTACGGATGTCCAACATCCGTTTACCCTCGTTTGAGGGTTCGACTAGACTGTTGAAGTGATAACTTCTATCAACCTCATAATGTAAAAGTCATCCAGATTTCTGCAGAATTTTATAGAATACAAATGAAATTTATAAAGTGATAAATAATTTTTAATTAAAATTTCAGACCTGTTTACCCATAACGCTGTCTCTCAGTATTTTTTATTAGATTTCTCCGTGAGATTTGGCATTTGCCAGTAAGATTTCACTTTCCATCAATTTTACATATATTAAAAGAGAAAAACTGCTTTTCTGATTACAAAAACATGGTTTAACAACAAGGTCTTAGTCATTTCATAATACCACAGAGTTTTGGCAACCTGACATCGCCAATGTGTTTAAAATCTTTCTCCTTTTTTGCTATAAATACGGTAAAACTAAGACAGATCATAACGAAAACTAACTGTTAAATTCCAAACTAACGTATTTCCAATTTCCGTATTTTTATAATGGCAAAATGTGAGACCTATTTTAGACTAAAAATCCGTACAAAATACGGCGAAATCGTAAGAGTAAACAGGTCTGAAATTTTGTAGTGCTTCGGGTCTCTATTCTAAGTTTAATACGGAATATCGGAACTCCAAAATTGTGGAACTCTTTTAAAAAAGAAGTCACAAAAATGACGCGTAACTTGGGCAACTTTTGTAAACAAATCGGTAGCTAATCTAATGGCAGAGAACGAATCATTTCTTGTGCAAAAATCTTTGCCCGATTTAAAGAAATTTTTGACAGATCGTGGTATAAGGGTATCGGGCTACAGAAAACATGAGTTATTAGACTTAGCTCGCGAAGCGTGTAGACAAAATTTGCAGCCAAAATGCGATTTAGCACAAGATTCTGCAGATCGACTGAAACGTAGGACTGTCCATGGCGTAACATATCCACATCCCAGTTCCCCAAATATTAAATGGGATGATTGTTTAGATAAAATACCGTCCATTGAGGCGTATGATATTCAGTATTATTTAAAAACCAGTTGCCTGTGGACAAATGAAAGACTGAAAAATTACAAATCCGACAACAGCTACCGCTTGCATTCAAATGGTCACATTAGTAACGTGGCCATGTCTAAACTCGACTCTAATCTATGCTATATCAGAGGTTCATCCACTCCAGAGGAACGACAGACAGCTGAGCCCTACAAAATGTGGCTGTTGGTACAAGAGAATGGAACAATTGTCTCTGGAGAGTGCACATGTGTTGCGTATGTACTAGATCTATTATACAATAATTCGACGCGGACGTTTGAGAAAACATTGGATTGAAATTATAATTCTAGGTTGTGACATGATATCAGTGTTTTTCTTAAATGTTGGCTGCTCTATAAGCATTTTATATTTATACAGATCAGAATTTTCTATCCAATGTTTTTAAAAGAAAAAATTATCAGATTGCGGAAATAACTAACTGTTCTCCAGAAGAAAAGCTGTAA